CAGGTGGCAGCCACTCAATGTGTACCTTTCACATCGATGTTTCTCTCTCTCTCTCTCTCCCTCCCACTCTATCTAAACAAAAAATTGAAAAATGTCCTCGGGTGAGGATAAAAAAAAAAAGCCCTGGCCGGTTTGGCTCAGTGGTTAAGAGTGTCGGCCTGTGGTCCAGAGAGACCCGGGTTCGGTTCCCGCTAAGGGCATTTACTTCGGTTGCAGTTTGTCCCTGGCCCTGGTTGGGCCGTGCAGGTGACAGCCACTCGATGTGTCTCTTTCACGTCTTGACATGACGTGATGTTTCTCTCTCTCTCCCTCCCTCCCATTCTATCTGAACAAAAAATGAAAAAATGTCCTCGGGTGAAGATTAAAAAAAAAAAAAAAAATCTTTCAATGAGCAGTGTTATTAAATAAGCTTCACTATTTTTTTAAATCCTAGCTAAATATCATGACACAGAAATACAGATACAATACCACCCCCCCACCCTAATCTGTGGTTTCACTTTCCACAGTTTCAGTCCAAAATATTAAATGGAAAATTCCCGAAACAAACAATTCTTAAGTTTTAAAATGAGTGCCTTTCTGAGTAACATGACGAAATCTCATGCCATCCTGCTCCATGCAGCCCAGGACGTGAATCACCCCTGTGTCCGGCGTATCCATACTACACTTACAGTACAACATGGCATTTTGAAAGAGACCACACTCTCATAACTTTTATTACAGTACATTGTTATAATTGTTCTATTTCATTATTAGTTATTGTTATTACTCTCTCACAGTGCCTGATTTATAAATTAAACTTTATCATCAGTATGTGTGTATAGGAAAAAACAGTACATTAACTATTTTAGGGATTCACTGGGGGGTCTTGGAACATATCCCCTGTAGATAAGGGGGGTACTGTGTTCTTCTAAATTCAGTTATTTTTCTATAGAGGATAGAAAAAAAAGAAATTTTCTCTTAATCACTGTCATAGCCAAAATGTAAAATTAAAATATAATGTGCAATTTAAAATGGAAGAATTGCAGCACTGGCTGAGCTTATTCAAATTACACAAACATTTTGTTGTAATTTTGTCTACGAATTCCCACTTTTCCTAATGTCAGTCATTAGTTCTTACAAACTAATCAGAAAGTGTTTCAATAAATAAGTTTAAAACGTACTAAAACTCTTCATTGAGAAATTTTAAAACAGATTTGGAAATTGTTTCCCAGCTTTTTTTTTTTTTTAATCCTCACCCAAGGACATTTTTGCATTTATCTTCAGATAGAGCGGGAGGGAGAGAGAGGGAGGAAGAGAGAGAGAGAAACATAGATGTGAGAGAGACACATCGACTGGCTGCCACCCACACGACCCCAACCGGGCCAGGGACAAACGGCAACCAAACGGCAACCAAGGTACGTGCCCTTAGTGGAAACCCAACCCGGGACTCTCTGGTCCACGGCTGACGCTCTAACCACTGAGCAACCGGCCAGGGCTGTTTCCCAGCTTTTTAAGTGTGAACTTGTAAGAGTTGTTGCATCATTTTCAGAAGCAAAGTCACATAAATATGGGATGATTTCCAATGACTAGTTTCAAAATTCCCCTTTCCTAGCATAAGTATTTTTGGAAAAGCAGTTATATTCTTATTCCTTGGGAGAAAAATGATATTATATCCTCAAAGGAACACATTTTGTGTTTGTTTTTTCAACATCTGTTAGATAGCTTACTACTAAATGCCTTCTGTTTTCACAGGGAAATAAAACCAGCAAATTAGATACCGATCTTTTTGTGAAAGTAAAATGCATAAACTAATTTTTTTAATGAACAAAAAAATGAGAGGAATCACTCTAACTGATGTCAAGACTTATATACAGCAGCAGTGGTACTGACTGAGGAGGGATTGACACGTCAGTCAGTGGAACAAAAAGGAGAACCCAGAACCAGTCCCACACAACTACAGCCCACTGATTTTTGACAAAGGTGCAAAAGCAGTTCAATGAAGGAAGAACAGTCTTTTCAACAGATTGGTCTGGAGTAATTGGATATCCATAGGCATTCAAGACCTAAGGTTCAGTAAGTTCGTAGAGATAACACCAAAAGTACAATTCATAAAACAAAAAACTGATAAATTGGACTTCACCAAAATTAAGAATTTTTGCTCTGCGAAAGGTCCTATTTAAGATGGTAAAAAGACAAGATACAGACTAAGAAAAAAAAATCTGTAAACTACATATTTGATAAAGGAGTAGGATCTAGACTATATTAAAAATTCTAAAAATTCAACAGGAAAAGTATATTTAAAAAATGGGCATGCCCTGGCCGGTTTGGCTCAGCGGTTAGAGCATCAGCCTGCGGTCCTGAGAGACCCGGGTTCGGTTCCCGCTAAGGGCACGTACCTCGGTTGCAATTTGTCCCCGGCCCTGGTCGATCGTGCGGGTGGCAGCCACTTGGTGTGTCCCTTCACATCGATGTTTCTCTCTCTCTCTCTCTGTTCCTCTCTCTCCCTCCCACTCTACCTGAACAAAAAAATAAATAATATAAAAAAAAAAAAATGGGCAAAAGACATGAACAGACAGTTTCACTAAAGAAGAAACGGACAATAAATAAGTATATGAAAAGATGTTAGCCACTAGAGAAATACTAATTAAGACCTTCATGAGGTATCACTACTGACTTATGGGCACAGCTAAAATAAAAAGTAGTGACAACACCAAGGCTGGTAAGAATGTGAAAAACTGAATCACTTATATAATAATGGGAGGTATATGAAATGGAACAGCCATTCTGGAAAACATTTGCCTGGTTCTTACAAAACTAAATACGCAACCGCCATGCAACCCAGTATCTGTGCTCTTGGACATTTATCTCAGAGCAATGAAAATCCATATTCACAAAACTCTGTACTTATGCTCACAAAAACCTGTACACAAATGTTTACAGCAGCTTTATTTGCAGTAGCCAAAAACTGGAAACAGTTCAGTGACTGAAGGGTGGGTGGTACATCCATACCATGGACTACTATTCATCAATAATAATGAATGAACTATTAATACATGCAACAACCTATGTGAATCTCCAGAGAAATATGCTGAGTGAAGAAGGTCAATCCCCAAAGATTATCTACTGTATTCTTCCATTTATATAACATTCTTGAGTGACAAAATTATACATAGGATAGGCAAAAGTAGGTTTAGTTGTGAGTATGTGAACATAGTTTATTCTTGTATTATTTATTTGTATTATAACTGTAAACCTACTTTTGCCCACTTCTGTAGAAATAGAGAACAGATTATTGGTTGCCAGGGATAAAGGAGGGTGTTGGGTGGGAGGGAAGAGATATAGCTGATGGTATTGGAAATGTTTTCTCCCTTGACTCTTATCAATGTAGATATCCTGATGGTAGTATTGTACTAAATAGTTCTGCGAGCTATTACCATTGGGTGCTACTGGTTAAAGGGTATATGAGACCTCTAGATATTTATTTCTTACAACTAAAGTATAAATCTATAATTATCTCAAAATAAAAAGTTTATTCTTTAATGTTTCCAAAAAATAAATAATGGATGAATGGGAGTTCTGATATTTCCTGCCCACACCATAATGAATCATCTTGGGTACACATATTTTTAGAGATGTGTGCTGTATGCTGCTAGTACCTAGTCTTTAGACCCCTTTAACTATTCTCTACATTCCCTTGAAGTTATCTTTCTTAAGTGAAAATCTGATCATGTTACTTCCCAAAATCTTCACTCTGATGCACAACGGCCTTCATGACCTGGCTTTAGGCCTTTACCCAGTGTACACCTGGGCACCAGTTTCCAAGTGTGCAAAACCCTGCCTGACCGTGCGATACCTGAGGATAGTCAGAATGACTTCTTTTTATGTGTTTATCTTATCTCTAATATCTTACTATTCTTTTTTTTTTGTTCAGGTAGAGTGGGAGGGAGAGAGAGGAACAGAGAGAGAGAGAGAAACATCGACGTGAAAGGAACACATTAAGTGGCTGCCACCCGCACGACCGACCAGGGCCGGGGACAAACTGCAACCTAGGTACGTGCCCTTAGCAGGAACCGAACCCGGGTCTCTCAGGACCGCAGGCCGACGCTCTAACTGCTGAGCCAAACCGGCCAGGGCTATCTCTAATATCTTTAGGTAACTCATCTCCAATGCTTATCAGGTTTCCTAGCACATATTAGGAGTACCATACAGCTTAAATAAGAAGCCCATCACGCCCTGGCCGGTTTTGCTCAGTGGTTAGAGCGTCGGCCTATGGTCCAGAGAGACCCGGGTTTGGTTCCCGCTAAGGGCATGTACCACGGTTGCAGTTTGTCCCCGGCCCTGGTTGGGTCGTGTGGGTGGCAGCCACTCGATGTGTCCCTTTCATGTTGATGTTTCTCTCTCTCTCTCTCTTTCTCTCTCCCACTCTATCTGAACCAAAAATGGAAAAATGTCCTCAGGTGAGGATAAAAAAAAAAAAGAAGAAGCCCATCATTTGGATAAAGATATGGCACATATATACAGTGGAATACTACTCAGCCATAAGAAAAGATGAAATACTGCCATTTCTGTCAACATGGAGGTACCTTGACAATAGTATGCTAATTGAAATAAATCAGTAAAAACAAAGCTAAGAATCATATAACTTTACTCATATGTGGGATGTAAAACTGAAAGTCATAAACACAGACAACAGTATAGTGATTACCAGAGGGAAGGGATTGAGAAGCTAGCTAAGGGTGAAGGGGGCCAAATATGTGGTGACAGAAGATGATCTGACTTTGGGTGGTGGGCACACAGGGCAATATACAGATCATGTGTCATAGAAGTGTAAACTTGAAACCTGTATGATCTTATTAATCAATGCTACCCCAACACACTTAATAAACTATAAAGAAATAACAATTTTTAAAAATTGAAAAAAAAAAAGAAGCCTATCATCAAAGTTGAGTACCATACTGTTTTATTTATAACCTCCTGAGAGTCCAGAGGTGTTGATTCCGTGTTGCCCTCAGAACACTAACCTGCAATCACTCCTGCCAGGTACACCAGCCCCACGCGGAGGCCTTTGTGGACCATTTCCAAGGGAATACCCAAAACGAGCTGCATAATCAGGTTCCCCAAGATGTGCTGAACTCTGAAGAGACAAACACATTTGTCAAATATTACAACTGACCAGGCAGTTATTTCCTTGGGAGAGTAATGAGCATTGAGATGTTCTTTCTAGTTAAGGACTTGTTTAACTCGAATTCCATTTTCTAATTTTTTTAGCAGGTAAAAGGGCATTTTAGAAGTATACATTTATTTTTTAAATTATGTACTCTGTATTTATTTTAAACAGCATAATCTTTTTTTATTATTGATTTTAGAGAGAGAGGAAGGGAAAGGGAGAGAGAGACAGAAACATCAATGAGAGAGAACATCGACTGGCTGCCTTCTGAATACCCCCCACTGGGGATTTGGCCCAGAATCCGGGCATGTGCCCTGACTGGGAATCGAACCAGTGACCTCTTGGTGCATGAGTTGACGCTCAACCACTGAGCCACATGGGATGGGCTATTTTACAAATTCTGTTTTATAACAATTACTGGTAACATTAGAGAGCAATGAGGCTGGCCTAAGGAACATAAACTTGAAATTAGGTTTAAGTGACAAGTGCCAACTTAATGTCAGCTTCAGCATCTGATTTTGTTTCACTTGCACAGAAAATCCTGATACACTCATATTGAGTTTAAGCTTAGGTTTTTTAGTCAACTTGTTTTGCAATCTCAGAATAGTCTTTAACAAAACAGATATGGCAAGAGGAACCTCATTCCCAGGTCTACATTAAATGTTTTTTAAAAAAAAAGCTTACAAGAATGGGGGGAAAAGCTTACCTAGTAACAGTAGCTAAAAGTTGGTATCTCCCATGTACCACAATTTGGCATATAACATATTTGAGTACAGGTGTTTTTTATTATTATAGTTATTTATTTATTTATTTATTCATTTATTTATTTATTTATTATAGTTTTTAAATAGGTGGCAGGAGGCAACCAATCGACCTCTCTCTCATGTTGATGTTTCTCTCTCTTCTCTCTCCCTCCCTCCCTTCCACTCTCTCTAAAAATCAATGGAAAAATATCCTTAGGTGAGATTAACAAAGAGTAGAAGTGACAGAAAGATGAGATCCTGTCATATTCCCAAAGTATAAATATTAGTTTTTTTATTCCAAATGTTATACACCCTTCAAGGACAACTTGGCCCCATGTCATGTGTGAAGCCATCCCCATTCTGATCTTTCCCTCTTTCTGTTTACATTGCTGTAGCTTATCTAACAGCCATTTCCTATCCCCTCTCTACCTCTGCTTGTGAGGCTGGAAGAGCTAACATTGGCTTTCCCTACCTCTCTTAGGCAGGGACACAGCTCTGGCCAGTGAGATGCAAGTAAAAGCAGCACTACCAGGAGACTTAAGAGCTTCTGTCTTGACAAAAGGGATGATGTCACTAGTACCTGATATTACCTCTTCCCCTTCCTGCTTTGAATGCAGAGCTACAGCAGTCAACTTGCAACTGTGAGAGAAAGACCAAGAATAGCAGAGGTGCCAGCACAGGACCGAGTCCTGGCTTCACCAATTGGATGAACCAACCACCTACCTCTGGGCTTCTGGTATGGGGAAAAACTGACCTCCGTTTTTTTAAGTCCCTGTTAGATTTTGTTGTTGTTGTTGTTACTTGCATATAAAAGCATTCGTAATTTATGCAACCCCATATATGACATGTCCTACACGGCCTTGCAAATTCTCTTTGAGTGGTTAGTATGTTAGGCACTGTAAAAATTATGTTATAACCATTGTCTGATTTAATCACAGCAACCTTATGAGGTGGGTACCATTACCCCATTTTACAGATGTGGAGACTAAAGTGCAAAGAGATTACACTGTACTATATACTTATACTGTATAATACTATACTGCCTTGCATTACTACCTAAGTGTTCCCTTTAAAGTCCTTGAGTGCAGAAGCCACATTTGCTCAGAACATGCTTGTTGAATGAAAAACCAAAGTGTGCAAGTGTCCACAAAAACTGGGTAATTGATGACTTTGTCCCTGACTTGTCAAGGCTGTGAGCCCTGTGTCCTGCCACAGGCCAGAGTCATCCTTCAAGGTTCAGGGCTGTTTAGGTCTCTTAGACAAAGCTGGCCTCATCTGAAACCCCAGGAATCTACCGGAGAGGTGAGGCCAGCAGCATGCAGTGGACATGGGGAAGCGTGGATTCTGAGCAAGGTCACAGAAGGCTATTAGCGTTTCAGAAACTATAAGCATTTAAGAAACTATATTATTCCAGGTGGATAACAGTGTTATACACTCATCAAAATGTTCATGAATTATTTTTTTAAGTGTGTGGTGGGAACAGGAACAGTGGGAATGATGTTTTATCTCCTTAAGGGAACATTCAACAACATCAAACAACCAGGGGAACATACTCTTGGTTTGGTAATGATTTGGTCTCTTCTTATTAATATTCCTATATAAATTCCTATGTTAGGCAGTTATAATGCAATATGTAGTACAATGGACCTGGAGTTAGCATTAATGAATTGAGGTCTTTGCTCTACCACTTAGCTGTGTGACAAGGAACAAGTGACAACCTCCCCTAAGCCTCAGACATAAAACAACAGGAGGAATACCTGCCTCCTAGGAGTGCTGTGATGATCACACAAGATTATGTGCATGGGTGGACCCTCAACCACTGAGCCACATGGGATGGGCTATTTTATAAGTTCTGTTTTATAAAAACTACTGGTAACATCAGAGGGCAATGAGGCTGGCCTAAGGAACATAAACTTGAAATTAGGTTTAAATGACAATTGCCAACTTAATGGCTTCAGCATCTGATTTTGTTTCACTTGCACAGAAAATCCTGATTCACTCATATTGAGTTTAAGCTTAGGTTTTTAGATAACTTGTCTTGTAATCTCAGAATAGTCTTTAACAAAACAGATATGGCAAGAGGAACCTCATTCCCAGGTCTACATTAAAATGTTTTTTACAAAGCTTACAAGAATGGGGGGAAAAGTGCCAGTAATAAAGCTCCGGACAAATGTTAGGGGTCACAATGACTCAGTCACCTCTGACGTCAGTGACTTAACTGTCATTCCTTACCCCGCATGTACCAGCATGTATGAGATAAACCTCCAGGCTTCCTCCCTCTTCTGAGGATTGTAGGTAAATGGACTCTCCAAGATGCCTGTGTCCAAGGTGATCCACTGTTTCTGAGGTTTCCACACAGCATAGTAAATGAACACTGCCAGCTGACAGGGAGGGGCAGACATGAATGTTAACCACGCCTTCTGCAGAGGCCCCATCAAAGCCCATGGGCACGACCTTTGTTTCCAATGGTTAGCTCTCTGGTGGGCCACTTCATACACGTGCTCAGAAGGTGACAGGAAATAAATCTCTCTACTGTGGATCTGACCATTTAACTGTGGTCGTATCCTACTTCCTCCAGTGATAGGAGCCCCCCTAGACCAAAGTGTAAAGACTCTTTCTGAACCCCTTTTCCCTTTTAAATACCCACTTTAAATACCCACTGTCCTGATCTTCCTACCCCCACCATTTGGTTTTTCATTTATAACTTAGTATGAAACTGAGTTACTGCTGGCTTCCAAAGAATAGAACAGGGAAAGGAAAAATAGTAAGTTTAAGTTTACAGTGGAGAAAACTGGCAAACATGATTTCAAACCAGTGGTGAAGGCTAGTGTCCCTCGGGATGTCATGTAGCTGTCCCCCACTCCCTGATGTGATGTGATGAGAAAAGCACATCAACTCCGTGGCATTCTTCCCCAAAACCCATACCTCTAGTCCAATCATGAAAAAAAAAACCTCATATAAACCCTGATTGGGGGATATTCTACAGGATACCAGACCAGTACTCTTCAAGACTATCAAAACCACGAAAAACAAAGACAGACTGAGGAACTGTGGCAGATCAGAGAGACAGGAGACATGACAACTAAATGCAATGTGACAAGTGGGTTTGAGGGTATAGGAAGGACATAAAGAGGAGATTAACGGAAAAATTGGTAAAAATCAAAGTCTGGAGTTTTCTTTTTTTTTTTTCATCCTCACCTGAGGACATTTTTCCATTTTTTGTTCAGATAAAGTGGGAGAGAGAGAGAAACATCGATGTGAAAGGGACACATCGAGTGGCTGCCACCCGCACGACCAACCAGGGCCGGGGACAAACTGCAAACGAGTTACATGCCCTTGGCGGGAACCAAACCCGAGTCTCTCTGGACCGCAGGCTGACGCTCTAACCGCTGAGCCAAACTGGCCAGGGCTGGAGTTTTCTTAACAGTAATATACCAATGTGAACTTCTTAGTTTTAGCAAATGTACCATGGAAATGTAAGATATTAACAATGGGAGAAATTGGATGATGGGTATACAGGAACTCTCTGTACTATCTTTGCAACTTTACTATAAAGCTAAAAGTTTTCCAAAATAGAAAGTTTATTGAAAATAATCTTTTATGCTCAGCCAGTGTGGCTCAGTGGTTGAACATCGACCCATGCACCAAGAGGTTACTGGTTCAATTCCCGGTCAGGGCACATGCCCAGGCTGTGGGCTTGATTCCCAGTAGGGAGTGTGCAGGAGGCGGCCAGTCAATGTTCTCTCTCATCGATGTTTCTCTCTCTCTCTCTCTCCCTCTCCCTTCCTCTCTCTCTAAAATCAAAAAGAAAATCATTTTTCATTAAAAAGTTTATCTTTCTGTGACAGGCAGATATCTCAGCACCTGTCTCATGATCCTTTGGTGGAAAACTACCTTGTCCATAGAACTCAGTGCCCAGGCATCATGTTTTATACCATGTGACCTTATCCCATTGTCCTCCAACCTTACCACCACCACCACACACCCACCTGACTGACCAGGGTCAGGCCAGCCAATCTATAGGCTAGAAGAATAACATGAGGTACAGTGCTGAAAAAAGCAGAAAGAATTCTGATGGCTTTCTAGTTGCAGGTTGTCTCATAATAAAACCCCTCCAGAAAATTTACAACTATGTCCCTCCAACCAAAACAGCCTTGACAAAAGCTTCTCCCAGGAATCTAATCTTTACACATTAGCCTTATCTTTATCTAAGCCATAAAGGCTACATCCCTGTCACACTTCATTGTATGCATCAACTTGGCTAGACCACAGTACCCAGATGTTTGGTCAAACATCATTCTAGATGTTTCTGTGAAGGTATTTTTGATGAGATTAATATTTAAATCAGTAGACTATGAGTAAAGCAGATTACTCTCCACAATGTAGGTGGGCCTCACACAATCAGTTGAAGGCCTTAATGCAACAAAGACTGGCCTCCTCTGAGGACAAGGGAATTCTGCCAGCAGAAGGCCTTTGGACTCCAACTGCAACTCTTATCCCCTTGGTCTCTGGTCTGCTGGCCTGCCCTGTAGATTTTGAACTTGCCAAGCTTCCACAATCACATGAGCCAATTCCTTAAAATAAATTAATTCTGTCTCTCCCCCTCTATCTATCTTTTTCTCTCTCAATATATGTTTATATGTGGATGGATGGATGGATGGATGGATGGATAGATAGATAGATGATAGATAGATAGAGACAGAGAGAGAGAGAGATTGTGTGTGTGTGTGTGTGTGTGTGTGTGTGTGTGTGTACATATCCTATTGGTTCTGAGTAGTGCTGGCTGGTGTTTGGCTCAGTGGTTAGAGCATCAGCCCACGGTCCAAAGAGACCCGGGTTCAGTTCCCACTAAGAGCACGTACCTCGGTTGCAGTTTGTCCCCAGCCCCGGTTGGTGTTGTGCGGGAGGCAGCCACTCGATGTGTCCCTTTCACATCGATGTTTCTCTCTCTCTGTCCCCACCCCTTTCCCACTCTATCTGAACAAAAATGAAAAAATGTCCTCGGGTGAGGATAAAAAAAAAAAAGAACCTGAGTAATACAGTTTCTGATAAGGAAGATGAGGCATTAGTGGGAATTAAGAGAATTACATTAGGAACTTCCTAATGCCCCTGAAGTCCCCTGCCAATTTTTTTTTTTGAGACTTCATGGTGAAGGAGAAAAAGCTAGGTTTGATGAGGTTCAGAAGAAGTCCAGTCTTGGCCCAGTCACTGAGTATGTGACCTGGGGCAAGTCATTCCATAGCCTGGGGTCTTGCATTCTTTTCTGGAAAACAAGAGAGCTGACTAGATCAGTCTATGCTGCCCATGGTATACATCATTAGAGGATTCCATTCTTTTCTACTGAAATTTGGAGGCAACTAGAACTCTTGTAACTCTTACTAGCCAATTAAAGTTGGTTCATGATACCAAACCAGTTTGCAATCCCATGATTATGTGGCTTCTAAAGCCCATACCAGCCCTGGCTGGTTTGGCTCAGCAGTCCAGAGAGACCTGGGTTCGGTTCCTACTAAGGGCACATACCTTGGTTGCAGTTTGTCCCCGGCCCTGGTTCGGTCGTTCGGGTGGCAACCACTCGATGTGTTCCCTTCACATCAATGTTTCTCTCTCTCTCTCTCTCTCTCTCTCTCTCTCTATTCCTCACTCTCCCTCCCACTCTATCTGAACAAAAAAATGGAAAAAATGTCCTCGGGTAAGGATAAAATAAATAAATAAATAAATAAATAAAGCCCATACCAGCTAAAATGAAATGAAGCCACTAAAATTAGTCACTGCTGGGCAGGGCACTTGTTTGAAAAATAAAGCTCAGCGCTTGTCTGAAAGTGACTGGGAACATAAGAAAAACCTGGGAAGGGAGTTATTTGCCACCACCAAGCTCTCTTCTTACATGTTTTCCAGTCTCTGACCCAGATCTGATCTAAACCCCCAGTTTGCTTGCAACTCCCCAATAGTACCTGCCCTAGTGCCCACCACCCAACATGTTTACCTCAGCAAGGCTGACGGAGATGATGAACACAGGGGGCGGGAGGCAGTTAGCTCTCTCCATGTATGTTCTCCGGGCATTTTCAGGAAGCATCCATTTGGAGACAATCCTGTGGACCTTTTTATCCTTGAAGGGATCTTTATCTTCCCCATCCTCTGTCATTTTCTTCTCCTCCTCCAGCTTTTCTTCCACGTCTCTACGCACATTCACATCCTCCATTTGCAAATCAGGAGCAGCAGCCATTGTCCTGGGTCCTCCCTACACCTGAAAGAGACATGAATGTAGGGAAAAACAGATGGCCCTATAGTCTTCAGGCCATGGTCCTTTGCTGGGTTCTCTGGCATAACCATTGGTTTCTAACGCCTTTCCTGTACGTTAATAGAAGGTAACTGAAGACCTGATACCCAAATACTCATAACATCCACACCCTCGCCACCAGTGTGTAATTAATTATGACAAAGTACTAGGGTCTCCCCCAAATGAGGGAGAGGGCTCTCAGGGGTCACTTCTGGTTTCACCTACTGCCATCACCCAAGACTGGAGCCTTGAGATGGCAACATTGCTCTGCATACCTCTTCCTTTCCTTTGCCACAGACCTCCAAGTCAGCTGTTAGCTGTGCCCTGAATACGAGGTATCTCAGAGCCCAAACCATGCACAACTGAGCTCGGCTTTATCTAGCTAACGAGCAATCGCCTCTCCTCTCTTAGTTTCATCTTGCTTCTACTCTCAGGTTTCTGATTCAGAATCAGAAGTCATTTATTGAGCATCTACTGGGTATCAGACGCTATGTTGGGGACTGTCACATCTATTAATCACAAATGTTAAAGCATTTAAAAAAATATGTTCAATTAGGGATGATTCACATGTATTAATAAGCTCTATTGTAAATTTAAGCACCATACATGATCATGTTATGAGGAAATGAAATTCCACATTGTTAACCATACAACTTTATATATACAAAAGGAGCTAGAAAAATGAGGATTTCATTCTCCCTCCCCTCTACCCCAATTTTGTCTTCTCTCTAGATTTCAAATTTTCCAGAAATTTCACAACTTCAATCCCACCATTTTAGGTATTTTACTGAAATATATATCCTGGGCTGCAAAGATACCTGACTCATTCGGTTTCGCCGAGACTCACTGCATGTCTGCCTTCTTCCCTGGCATCTCCAGTAAAGGGATCTGATGTGTAGTTCTAGCTAATTTGGGCTCTAGCAATAGATGGGTGCATTGGTAGTGATTGCAGCATTTGTTTTTACCTCTCAGTCAGTCACTTCCATACCTGTCTGTGCGCGCTGCTCCCCGAGAACAGGAACCTCTCTCTGCTTGGTCTTATCTCCAACATCTGGAGCTGGATGCTCACAGGTGCTGCCTCCAGTCCCTGGCGTGCCCCATCCTTCCCACTCCTGTTTACCTGCAGCTCCCACACCTGAGTTTCTGAGCACAATTCACCACCTTAGAAACGTGACTAATCAGATTGGCAGCAATGAAAGACTGATCCGTACTGATTCCTATGAGGCTGTGTGGGAATGAGTGTGGTTTATGGGGTGTAAATTGATGCAGCCTTCCGGGAAGGCAAGGGGGCAGTATCTATGAATTATGAAAAGCATATGCCTTTCAACAGAACCATCCTAATCCCAGAAATATATCCTACAAATCTATTTGAGCAAGCACACAAAGCTGTATTTTGAAGATGTTCTGTGCAGCACTATTTATAGTAGTGAAAAATGACGAAGAACCTGAATCTACTTTAATCAGGTTGTTGCATTTTCTGACAGTTCTAATTCTTAGGTAGTTCTTCCTGTACTGTGCTGAAATCTACTAACCAGCACTCTGCCCTTGGGCCCAAGGTTTTCCTCCCAAGGGTCTCACAAAGCAAGTCTAACCTAATGTCATGTCATTCATTTCATCCCTGCATGGAAGTGGCTTCTGTAGGTCACAGTTGGGGTAGAGTATCTGGAAGCACACTTTAGATTACCAGAATTTGGGGAGGCCCAGTTGAATACAGCAAGAGTCTCAAAACAAGTCAGCCATGATTACCACACACTATAGACTCACACTGTTAGAAAAGCATCCATAGCTACCAAATTGTTTACCTGGCCACCTCACTGTAGTGTTACTCATTGAGTGGAAGTATTTACTCTACTGACTGTGCTTTCTTATTCACTAAGCAAAGGTCATGCAAGTTTCTTGAGCTTTTCCTAATGTTGACTTGATGGTATGCTTCACTTTCTACCTCTTATCTGCAGCAGGTGGCTGCCAACTCTTTGTTGAAATCACATGCATACATCGAAGGGGATCACTTGGTAAATTACATAAATGTCTAACCAATAATGAATGTCAACTGTAGTTGAAAAAAATTAAAAATAAATTTTAAGCCTAGGCCAGTTTGGCTCAGCAGTTAGAGTGTCAGCCCGCAGACCAGAGAGTCCTGGGTTCAGTTCCCACTAAGGGCATGTACCTCGGTTGCAGTTTGTCCCCGACCCTGGCTGGGGTCATGTAGGCGGCAAACACTGGATATGTCTCTCTCGCATTGATGTTTCTCTCTCTCTCTTCCCCCATCTCTCCCTCCCACTCGATCTGAAAATAGATGCAAAAATGTCCTCGAGTGAGGATAAAAAAAGTGTTAATTTTAAAAATTAAAATAAAAACACACACACACACAGATCAAAACATTCTCATCCTACTAGTAGAAAACAACTGGGGTAGATTGTTAGTGTGGACAGAAAAAGAACCACACACTAAACCTAACAAGCTCAGGGCAGGCCTGCAAGGTGGGCCTCACACATTCAGAGACTGAATGTAACCACATGGGATGGTCACGGCGTGTGGTCACATTCTAGGCCTGCAGCTTTGTAGACAAAGGTCAATCTTTACCTTCAGCAAGCCTGTGTATTGTTCTTTTTGCATGAGATTACATACCTTTGGAATGTCAGAGTGATTTCCCTTTCCAGACCCTTCAGGTTACACCCACTGCACCAGAGTACACAACCCCTCATTACTATCTTGTTCCCTGATTCCCATCTCTGTGTTGCAAATGTCATTAACTATCCTGTACCCACCAATGTAAAAGAAGTATGTGTCTCTCTGTTTTACTTTTTATTCAATCCCAGAGGTTTCCGCGCTTTGCCCTTAATCTACTACCAATGAATTTCATGTAACTCCCTTAGGTCTCCCCCTTTTATTCTAATGTATACAATAAGCTGCAAAATTGCCATTCTCCAGAGCATTTTCTCAATTCCTTGACATTTTGCTTCCCAGCAATTGTTACCAGTTTGGCTCAACTAAACTCATAAACATTCTCTACAGGTTTAGCTCGGCAGATGTTGCTCAGTGGTTGAGCATCGACCCATGCACCAAGAGGTCACAGGTTCAATTCACGATCAGGGCACATGCCCGAGTTTCAGGCTCCATCCCCAGTAGGGGGTGTGCAGGAGGCGGCTGATCGATGTTTCTCTCTCATATCAATGTTTCTGTCTCTCTCTCCCTTCCTCTCTCTCTAAAAAAAATCAATAAAAACCTATTTTTAAAAATAAATATATAAGCCCTGGCTGGTTTGGCTCAGCAGTTAGAGCGTCGGCCTGCGGTCCAGGGAGGCCCGGGTTTGGTTCCCACTAAGGGCACGTACTTCGGTTGTAGTTTGTCCCCGGCCCTGGTTGGTCGTGCGGGAGGCAGCCACTTGATATGCCCCTTTCACCTCTCTCTCTCTCTCTCTCTCTCTCTCTTTTCCTCTCTCTCCCTCCCATTCTGTCTGAACAAAATATGGAAAAATGTCCTCAGGTGAGGATAAATAAATAAAATGAGCACATTTAAATAACAATACAAATAAATAAATAAATAAATAAATAGAGAAAAAGAATGTCTCTGGAGGAGTATAAAAGTCTCATAGCCTTCTGGTTAAAAAAGAAGATGCTCTCTAGTGAACCCCAAAAACCAAAGACCTTCTCTTCACGGCCAGCTAGTATTCTTCAGAAGAGGAAAAGTGGAAAGAACGTCCATACTTCCTGACATTATCTGGTCCAGCACTGCTTGTTTTATGAATCACTGAGTCGATGTGCTGGCCAAGGACTGGAAAGGGCAGTGCTGTGCTCATTTACCCAGAACAGCTGTCTGCCTTTTTTTTTTTTTTTTATCCTCACCTGAGGATATTTTTCCATTTTTTTTGTTCAGATAGAGTGGGAGGGAGAGAGAGGGAGAGAGAGAGAGAAACATGGACGTGAAAGGGACACATCGAGTGGCTGCCATCCACACAACCAACCAGGAAGGACCGGGGACAAACTGCAACCGAGGTACATGCCCTTCGCAGGAACCGAACCCGGGTCTCTCAGGACCGCAGGCCAACGCTCTAACCGCTGAGCCAAACCAGCCAGAGCTGCCATTTTTTTAATCTGTAGAAATTTGAATTTCCATAAGGAGATCTACACAGGAGGCCCTTGACATCAGCAAGGTGTATTTCCAAAGGCCCTTCAAGTGTCTTCATTCACTCTACCTCACACAGTCTCCCAAAATTATGCTCTAAATTATGGCCAGAAAGTTTTAAGTGATTCCATATCAGACCCTAAATGATTCTATAATTTCAAAAGTAAAGTTATTTATAAAATCTGTCGTGTGAAGCGTATTAACCACGTTCAACGCTTTGCACCCAAGATCCCAAAGAAGAAAAAAGCAAATTTGGTTAGTTAATGGTACCTCTTTTCATTTTTCATCAAGTTTAATCTCTCCCGAAGAGCAGTTTCTGCACTGGCTGATGAACTCACTAAAACCACTAGCCAGTGCATTTTTCCTTGTATCTATGTGACTCGCAGGGTGGACCTCTGGATATCAGAGATCCTACACTGAACTGGACATTTTATGACAATCTACCCAAAACTTCTCTTTGTGGCTGGCAAATAAAAAGTCACTTTCTCAGGCCTCTTCACTTTGTTCTCATGTTTACCACTGGCACTGCCAACTGATTTATTTTTCTGAGCCTCTTCTACTCCTGCCACAGGAAAGCAAGAATTTAGTCACTGCATGCAGGTTACATGAAGGCTATCACTAGTAGAGAATACACAGTAAAGTCACATGAGATGTCAAGGTGGAACAGTAAGCCTGGTTCACTAACGAGTGACTGGCACAGGCACAACCAGTCTCTCAATTCACATTCGTTTACAACGGGCCTTACAGGGTAGCTAATGCAATATAAAAACTATAAGTGTTAAATGTGAAAATGTGGAGGACTTCAGCGTATTCTTTTAATGACACTTATGTAGTGATCATTT